TCCATCTGTAAAAATACCACAGGACTCCAAGCCCCACAAGGGCAGAAGCTCTCCCTAGAGTTCACCACCGCATGCCAGGTTTCTAGCATAATTCTTGACACACCATAGTTGATTGAGTGAAAGGGCAGGGGTACACCCTCTCTACCAAAATGCCCAGCTCTGAGAGTGAGGAGGTCCATGATCCAAACAGAGGCTAGAGAAAGTGACACAAGACAAGACAGAGAGCCAGGGATGGCTGACCAGGGCCAGCTTCCTTAGATGTTCCTGGGGAGGGGGTCATGCTGGAGTTTAGGCAAAGTTGGATGAGCTGATTCAGAGATCCCAGTTGTAATTTCACTGAAGCACTGTTGAGAATCGGGAGAGGACATTCCTTTTCATTGACCTCTGCCACCTGGTCCTTGACTTCATGCTTTGGTTCAAAACCACCTTTAATCCTGACTGAAGAATTTGGAAAAATCCCAGCAAAAAAATGAACCACTGTGCCCCACCCCCCAACCGCTCTGCTATCACTTCCAGCTCCCTGTGGAGCTTATTCCCACGTCCCTCCTAAGGTCTCTTGCAGATAATTCCAGAAACATTTACAGCACTTGCCTGGGTATATTTCTTTTCTTTCTTCAGCTAATATACAATTTTGCTATTTACAAAAGCTACAAATGGAATGCAAATGTGCCCGTTTATTTTCCCATATTGTTATTGCTGGATTCTGATTTTGAAGGGGGAAACGTTGCATTTGTGAGAACATTCAAATTTAGTGTAAATTTCAAAAGGGAAGTCTGGTTCTCTCAGTTATGGGAGGTACAGAAATACAATAGCCTATTAGTCTATTCCAACTAAGATATTCTACGTCTTTACACACACCCCCACAGCTCCCCCCCACACACACTAAACAATTCATAGCTCCTCCTTCAGAGATGGACTGTTACCACTCTAGTTTTTTCTTAAACATTCTAAACTGCTTTCCAAGCCAGTTCAAGGGTAGTTCGGTACTGGGTCAGAATTTTGGATAAGAAAAATTATTACTTATTATTGAGGGTTTTTTTTAAAGATTGGATTAAAAAGACTGCTTTCTTCTGTGCGGAGAGATGAAAATTGAGATTTATGATTACGATCTCACCAATGATGGAGGGTGTGCAGTGAGTGAAGATAAATTTGTTCCCTGAATCCTGACATACCAGAATGAAGGGGATTCAGTAAAAATCAAAGCTGGTGCCTATTTACAAATCCATTTAGAACTGCCCAATGTGCTGGAGAGGACCTTGGCATTCCCACAATCCCAGAAGTCACCGAGGCCCAGGGGAGGCCAGCTGCATTGAAATTCCCTTTCTGCCAACAGAGCTTATCTTGGGCAATCGAGCCCCTTCTGAGCCACAGTTTCCTCCACTGTAAAATGAAGATGATGGTAGCTGTGTGAAAGGATTGCCAAGAGAAGACTTTATTACCCGCAAGACGTAGTTCAGGTGAAAACTCTCCATATCTTGAGTGAAAGGCACAGAGAGGTTAGTTGATGTGTAAATGATACATACGGTTTTTGGGTTTTCAGGACTTTCAACTCTGGGTAGGGGTCCCCACTCTTGAGGGCAGTGCCTAGAAGGAGAAGCATGCCCTTAGTCAGAGTCGGAGACAAGGAAGGGCTGTGTGATTGCTGCATGTGATTCCAAGGGACCCCTTCTCGGCTCTGCAGAGCTCCCTGCTCCTCTATCCCTCATTCATATGAACTTCCCAGAACCCTATCAGTTGCCTGAATAGCTAATCTACTCCATTAATTTGAGTTAAAATGTTAGTGGGTGGTAATGACTTTTCATTTGCTGCCACTCCCATATAACTCTTGTGTTTTAACCCAAATATTCAATAACTTAACCTAAAGAAGTGATTACTGTGAGTTCTCCTAGCTTCTTAGAAAGACCAATGTAGAAGGGCAGCCAAGCCAAGTGTGTGCCCGTGTGGCAGTTTATACCGCATGAGCAGACATGACACTTGCTGCCAATCCACTCATCTTCCCTCCTTCCAGACCCCAGGAGCAAACTCGGTTTTCAGAGACAGCCTCGAGGCAGTGAGCGTGTACAGACCACCATAAAAGGAGCTGGCCCACGTGGATTCAGATGCAAGTGCTGCTTCCAGACAGACATAGTTGACCACTATGACCAGGGTCCCCACCACTCTCCAAGTAAAACCCCGTCTCAGCGACTGTCAGTGCAAGGATAGGCTCAACATTACAAAGCTAGCCCTTTCCCAGCAGGTGTACTTGATGGATGTGGCTCTGTGGCTCTCGTTACAAGGATTTCTCTAGAAGGGATGGAAGTGTTCAACACTTCCCACGTTTCCTGTCCACTCATGATGACTCTTCTCAAGTGAGTCCAAAGAAAGAAGGGAGGCCCCGAGCCTGGGATGACAACTGGGTCACCTAATAGGAGATGGGTACACTCTGTCGTAACAGTTGTGATTTGGATGAATTTAGGATCACAGCAATCCCTCCATGATGTTCAGCATAGTGAGAGTGTGGTTGGTAGAGAAGCAAAGAGCAGAGAGGAGGGAGGCCAGCCAGTTTCTTCTTGCTCTCCTGTGTGGTCTTATTAATCAATTATAAGCTATGCGGGAGATCATAGCCATATCGTAGCTTGCTCACATCCCGCACCATAATTACAGCTGTCTTCCTCCTAAACCATGAGCCACTAGAGGGCAGGAAATGCCTCTCTCTCTTTCTTTCCCTCTCTCCCTCTCCCTCTCTCCCTCTCTTCTCTTTGTAGCTCTAGCCCCAAGCACAGAGTGTCTAGCACAGGGTAAGTGCTCAATAAACATTGATGAGTAATAGAGTCAACAAATGAGTGACTGAAATACGGAGAAGCATAACAGGTGCACCCTGTTTTTACTTCTCCCTGTTCAGATACCACAACCATTCATCTCAGAAAAACAAGACAAAACAACAACAAATACAATTCTACAACTCCTTAACCACCCATCAAGCAAGACAAGGGAAAGATCAAAGCATTCAGAAAAACTGGAGACATGATGGTTAAGCCATGTGGCCAGCCACACTGATGGTAAATCCTCTTTTGATGACTGTTACCACCTCTAATGGACCGGGAGACTGACATCCAACATTGTACTCAACATCACAAAATCTCACTCCAAGAAAAATAGGTGGTATTCCAGAGGAGCTCACTGTAGGAGTGGAGGTACACAGATTTTGCAAGGGGCCAGGAAAGAAATGAAGTGCGGTTATGGGGGTTGGTGTACCCCTCCCCTGGAGAAAAGACATCTGTTCCCCACACCCAGAGCTTCCCCCTTTTTTCTGGGCTGCTTCCCTCTTCTGCTCTCCAGGCAGGGTGATGGGAACTACTCTTGCAGGGGAGAACTTATCTTGGCTTCCAGGGTCAACAAGAGCTGTCCAGCAGCCCGCTAACTTGGAAGAATTCCTCCTGTCCCTCCTTCCTACACACAAAGAGGCAGAAGGACTCTGGGCACAGGCAGCCCTCTTACCCCCGCCCCCCGGCCCGGCCAAGGTGCCTCTGAAGGGACTAGCCACTGACATCGCCTCCCCAAACCCCTGTGAGAACCGGTTCTGTGTGGGTGGTCCTGGGGGAAACAGCCAATGTGCACCGCTCCCCTTCATTCCTGAGTCCTTTCCAGGCAATTAGGATATTCCATATAGCTTCTTGAACAGGACCCTTTTTCCCAAACTCACACCTCAAGGACCCTTTCATAAACCAGATGATCACTTCTGGGAAGTTACATTTCCTGATTTGAGGACTGTTACAATTAGTGCAAGAAAAAAAAATAGGTTATTATCTAATTCCAGTAAAACTTAATGGGGCCCTTCCCAGGCTAATGGTTGGTGCAAAATGTAATTTGAGTTAAATTGTCTAAGGCTGGGGAAGCGAAAAATATTAGACTTGGGGGGCATTACCCCTTGTGGGAGCCATATTTTCTAGCAGGCCTTTAGATCAAGATAGGACCCCTCGGGGCGGGGGGGGGGGGCGCTACTGATTTTGCAAGGAGAGGGCAAGAGCTGGGGAGGTAAGCCCACCCCAGAGTCAGAAGGGCCAGGGCCGAGGCAGGGCAGGGCGGATGCTAAGTCTGCCATTGTGGGTACAGCAGCCACTCCAGAGCTCTAGCCAAGACTGCGTGACCTCAGGCAACTCGGGGAGCCTCTCCGGATCCAGTCTCGGTTCCGTCAGTGGTGACCAAGATGACCGCCCGGAGGGGGTGGTTTTTAGGGGGCTGAGCACCTCGCCCACAGATTGCAATCAGCATCTCCGCTGAAGTTGGCCTGTCTTGGGTATCTCTTCTCTCCTCCCCTTCCCCCACCATCCCTCCTAATTCGTCAACTGCCGAAACATCTGCCTGGTTGAAACCGCCTCCTCGCCGAGCGCTGGGGGCTGTCCCCAGGTGTAGGTCTTTGTGTCGCCAAAACTTTGCGAGAAAGCGAGGGCGCTGGACAAAGAGCGAGCGCGGGAGGGCGTTTGCCAGCCGGCTGGGGACGCCGGGCGGTGCGCACTCTTCCCTGGGTTCAGCTCGCTACTCGGACGCCCGCGGCGCCCCGAGCTCAGCCTCCCTAGGCGGGGAGTGGCGGGTTCTGGCCACAACCCAGCGCCCTCGGGAGCTGAAAGAAGCCAGGCGGGAGGAGCAAAGGCGGATGGCTGGACCTAGGAGTTGACTAAGGGTGGGAGGAGGCGAGCAGAGGCGCGGAGCAAAGCTGTCAAACTGCACTCGGAGCCCCGCGCGGGGCGGAGGAGGGAGGGGAGGGGAAGGGGAGGGGAGGAGAAGGGAGGGGAGAGGAGGGGAAGGCGGGAGCGGAGAGGGAGCTAGCGGGCTCGCCGCGCCTGAGCAACCCCTGTCTGCCGCTGTCGCCGCCGCCGCCGTCGCTGGCCCGCACTCGCCCGGAGCGCAGGGTGTCTGCCCCGCTGCGCGCCGCGCGCGGAGGCTCCGGCGCCTGCCGCTGCGCCCTCCAGCCCCGGCTCCTCGCGCCGGCCCGCGCGGGTCCCGGCGGGCGCGAACCCACCATGCAGCTGCAGTTCCGGAGCTGGATGCTGGCTGCGCTCACGCTGCTCGTGGTCTTCCTCATCTTCGCAGACATCTCGGAGATCGAAGAAGAAATCGGGTAAATAGCTGCGCCCAGGCCCGTGCAGAGCCCTGGCGGGATCTCTCCCACCCCGGTACTCCGCCCCCCACACCCGCTTTGTGTGCGCCGCGCCCCCCTATCGCTCAGCTGGAGAAGTGGGGGAAGGTTTTGGCCCGGGGAGGCGGTGCCGGGGGACCGGGACGGTTTGGGGTGCGGAGCATGGGGGCGCGGCCGCCGTGGGATGTCCCCAAGCGGGGAGCACGGGCAGCCTCCAGCTGGCCCGCGTCAGGGAGCAGACTCGCCTACCCTACCCCCCTTCCCTAGCGTGTCCGCGAGCGACGTCGCCGGGGTCGAGGGAGGGCGCCGGGGAGTGTCTGGGGTGGGCGGAGGGGCCGAGAGTGGAGGAGGCAGGAGTTTCTTTGTCTCCAGCTCGGCCGCTTTCTCGCCTTGGCAAAGTGGGCAGGGGGCGCGCGGGGATCTCTGCGCTGGGGGAGGGGATCCCCGGGTTGGAGCGGAGGGCGGGGCTCTGCACTGGCTCGCGGTAAGGGGAGTGTCCCCAGTACCTACGGACTGGCGCACGATCCTCCAGCCGGCCCCGGAGCCCTGCGTAAGGACGCCGGCGGGTACCGCTAGAGGCGGAGCGCGCAGGGCTGGGCTGAGACTCTCTCCCTCGCCTGGCTTTGGACTCTCAGCTAACCCCACGGCGCCCCCTGCGCCCCCGGGTTCCCGTGCGCTCTTAGTGCGGAGACGGAGACCTTTCCGGAAAGTCTGTATCGCCGCCGGGTGGTCTTTGGGGGCCCCCAGGCGCGCGGTCTCGCCCGGGCTTCTCTCCGGATCTCTCCAGAGGTGGGGCGGGACCGCGAGACCCTGCCCTGGCGCGGGACTTCCAGGAGTGCGCACTTGCGGCGCGGGACACACCCGCAGTCGGTCCTGGAGCCTGGGACTCGTGCCCAGCCCGGCAGCCTCCAGCAGGCTCGGCCGGGTCTCTCTGCTTCGGCGCCACAAAGAGCGTCCAATCCGCGGAGGGCAGGTGGGGAGGCACCTAGGGTTCTGAGGGGCCCTGAGGAGAGCTGCCCGGCCCAGGGCAGGGAAAAGGTGAGGTCGCCGAGTGGGCAGAAGGTCCCCTCTTCCTTGGGGCTAGAGCCAAGCCTGGCGCCCTACTTGAGTCCCGCGCCGCGTGCGCCCCCTCCTTTGTCCCATTTGTTTCATTCATTACCAGCTCGAGTTGGAGGGCCCGCTACGCTGACAGGTCCCTCAAAGGGAAATGCCTGGATCCCAAGGCCCTAAGGACCCAAACCTGGGGCAGGCGCCAACTTCCTGCTTTCTCCTTTTCTCCCTGCCCCTTCCCATCTCAGAAACCCAGGAATTCCTTCTGTGAACTCCACCACACTTCAAGAACCCCTCCCTGTCTGCCTCCTCCTCTTCCTCATCCTCGGTTTTCCCGAAGCTCCGAAAACTTTCACAGATACGGTTCACTTAATACGCGACGTGCTCCCACGAGGAAATAGAGAAATCCGTTACTTTCCATAGCTGTTCGCCTCAAAAACCGGGGTCGGAGAGGAAATCGGGAAAGCCAAGTCTTGGGTGATGGATGACTGGGTGGGGAGGGCCTTCCTCTAGGTTCTCCCTCTCTTCTGCCGGCTGTGGGCTCTGCTTGGCCCAGACTGCTTGCTAACCTTGGCAGGTGAGAGGGAAGGACCAGCAGCTGCCCATTGTTCTGCTATAGAAACCTAAGAAGTGTGGAGCTCATTCAGGGATCCCTGGCTTACCCATTCTCTGAACTTTTACTGAATAGCTTCTACATGCCAGGGACTTCTAATTTTTAAAATGCAATCAGGAAATCATTTTGCACACAATGCTGCACTTTCTTGCCAAATGCTTTACAGAGCCACCCCCCCACACACACACACACACACTCCACATCAGGTTATTCCAACAGGGTATCCAGGAATAAGCTCCTAGGCCAGAGCTAAGAAGGGCATTTGCCTATATATTTAAAACCCAGAGTTCCTCTGCTCTGCGTGTGCCCTGGGACCTGTTTCATTGGGGAGGGGAGTGTCTATTTGGGTTGACCCTGGGAAAAATTGTCAGATGGGTCAAATGTGTAATCTTCTGCGGCATTATCCCTCCTTCTTGGTGCCCCTGTGCTCAGGCTGACCCCTGGCTCGACCAGTTTTGACCCAGGCTTGAGACATCACCCCCAATCAATCCCTCCCCCAGTCCCACCCCCAGTCTGTCTCACACATGTTTAAGTGGAGTGGAGGCATATCGGGGATTTGCCAGGGCTAAAGGAGGAAGGACATCGCGCAGAGGACCAGAATCCCAACAGGTCTAATGTCTGCTTAGAAGCCAGGTTCCAAGCTCAGTCACTTCAATCCTTGGAACCACCCCAACTTTGAGTGGCCAGCCAGGGCTCAGTGGGTTAAGGGCCCTGGCACAGTGGCCAGTGAGGGGTGCCAGGAGTGGGGCTCTGTCTTCCTCATCTTATTCCTTCCTGGGAGACCTGGACGCATATTCAAGACCGCGGGTGCCTCTGAACCAGCCGTGCCCACCCTTCCCCAACTTAATCTCGACCTGCACCCGGGGCAATTGCAAATTACCTGCCAGTGTCAGTCCCTGGAAGAAAACACTGGTTCTATAAACAGATGGCTGTTTCTGGGAGGGGGACCCTATGGTGTTGTTAGGAAGGGAGGAAGGAAGACGTCTCTTTCTGGAGTAAGTATTCAAGGATTAAGGAATGAGAAGTGAACGAGGAAAGAGAATCGCACACGCATTGTCTGGTGGAACAAAAGTGAGATACACTTTGCTTAAGCTCTTGATCCCCTTTCTTCTAAAATGAAGCTTTTGGTATGGTAGTCTCAGAGGTCCTGTCCTGCCCAAGGGATCCTACAATGGGTTGCGAGGGGCAGGTTTTTCTTCCTGAAGCTTTTTCCGAGAGACTCGTTTCTTTTCCTCAGTGATGATTTTCAACTTCTAACTTGCTTGCTTGTGGAAACGCCTCCCTGGGGCTGAAAGGGAAAAGGAAATGTAGAAAGATGAGTTCTCTGCAAAGCACTCAAAGAGCGAATTCAAATCCTACATCAGACGTTGGGTGGGGCTTTGATAAAACAGCCCCCATCAATTCATGCAGTGCCCCAATTTTTAGACCAAGTTGTAAGCTAAAATGTTTTTTCTGATTGTCCCCTGAGCTTTAGTCTTGAGGGTAACTTAAAAGAGAGGGGTGTGAGGCCTGACTCTCTTGTCCACCGAGGTGTCCCCAGAACCCGGCGCACAGAGGCATTCAATAAACTTCTATTGCACTGGCCCAGTGATGGTCACATATGGTATCTTTGGGCAAAGCAGACACCCACACAGCCTTAGGATGGAAAGGAAGTGTGAGGTTCCTCCTAGGAAACCTCCTCTTTTTTTACAGTTAGTATAAATTTGACCCTGTGAAGCAGTATCGCCTATCCAATATCACACCCTGACCTGGTAAAGAGAGGACAAGCCTGCACAGGTCTCCTTCTTTGCAACCCAATGCCCTCATCCCCAAATGAGCTCTTTGAACATAGTCTCTGGTTTAAAAGAAGGTAACTAGTAATAATAATGGTGATGGTGAAGATGCAGGTGATGATGGTCATTAGCATTTATTGATTTATTGAGTGCTGGCTATGAGCCAGGAGCCATTCCAAGCACTTCATTGATATTAACACATCTTTTCGTCATGGCAACCCAATAGTCACCTCCCAGGGGCAACAAGAGCTCCTATCGGTGGAGCTCTGTGTGCCAGACACTGGGCTAATGGCTTTAAAGTACTACTCCGCTCAATCTTCTTGAACCTCTTTAAGCTAGGTACTGTGGCTATCTCCGAGTTGTCAGTGAGGAAACTGAGGCTCAGAGAGATTCAGTGATCAAGCAAGGTACCCTAGTTCTGTGAGAAGCCAAAGACCGCCTTGCTAGACTGCCCTGTCTTCTGGGTTCTTTCGCCCTGCAGTAATACCACAGAATGGGTCTCAGAACTTAACTCATTTCCCAGGGATGTTGCCCAGGCCCAGAATTTTCCTAAGAGCGTGGTCTGGCCTCAGCAGCTTGCAAAGAGGGAAGGAGAGTGGAGACTGTGGGAAGGACGGAGGGCTCGTGTGTCCCCGAAAATGCCCCTTTGGTCCCGTCAAGTTCAGTGTGATGCTAGAGGACAGAATGGCACTATTTGGCCCCTGGCTTGCCAGACAAGCTCACGTGCCACAGGCAGGAGCATCCTAGACTCACAGGTGGGGCCTGGGGCTGGAGCCTCCGGAGAGAAGACTCCTATCCATTTGCAAATCTGATTTCAAATGTCATTTGAAAGAGAATTCTGGCATCTACACACCATATGATTGGGCACCTGGGGGCCTGGAGCAGGCGTGATTGTAAAGATATTTCACAACGGGTCCCTGTGAACACTGGCCTTTTGGCCTGGACGTCTGACTGGTCAGGACGGATGCCATCCAGGCACCCTGGCCAGGGGTCCTTGTGCACCCCAGGCAGACATCAGATCACGACTGGGGAGAGTTAAGACGGGGGTCAGGGCTAGCTCTGGTCCTTGGCTGTGACCAGGTCTGTGAGCAGGCAGTCGCTGTGGCCATCAGCCAGGAGTGAGGTGAGGTGCACCTTTTGGTGGTGGGTGAGTGCAGGCTGATGTGAAAGAAAATGAGCTCCTCTTTGAGCACTTGAAGTGCAGGCACCTTGTAAGGAGAATACATATTTGCTTAAGACGATGCAATCTTTTTTTTTTTTTTTTTTTTTTGGAAAAAGCTCATTCTTCTTCCCAATCCTGGTGTACTTCCCTCTCGTATAAACATGACTGGAGGATAAAATAGGAGGGAGAAAGCTTTGGTTTTTAACTCACTTGCTCCAAGTCCTGTTGCCAACTGTTCCTAGCATCAAATTTAAATTGTAAATAGATACCCATCTTAGAAACCGATTCACCACTCAAGGCCTCTTTCCCCTTATAAAGCAGGGTTGCTAGGTTTTAAAATTGTTTAGGTTTTACAAATTGGGGATGTTGTAAATTGCAAATTATA